AGCCGGTTTTGAGATCTTATTGTCAAATATTCCTCCAGAAAGATGTAATTAATATTTTTGCCAATAACCTATTTACATCTTCTATCTTCCCTCCCACCACCCTATGCCAAACCCAAATGTTATCTTTAAAAATATCTTTGATAATATGACAGATGGAAAAGGGTATCTCATTATTTGGTTCACATTCCTTTGCTTAGTAATTATGTTGAACATTTTTTCATGTTTATATGTGCAACACTGTCCATATTTCTTTCATGTTTTACTAGTTGTATTTCTTATTTTGTGAATTACCTGTTCATGTCTTTTGCTATGTTATTTGGAATATAAAATTTTATGTCTTTTGTGTCTTCAATCTCAACTATCTTCATGATGAATAATGCTCTTTGGCTTTTTCTGTGATTTTACCTAAACTTCTATTTTGACTGAAATTAATATTATAACCCATTTTCTTTTTGTTTATACTTGTATAATGTCTGTTTGTTCATCCTTACTTCCACTTTTTTTTTTTGAGATAGAGCCCCAAACTGTCACCCGGGGTAGAGTGCTGTGGCATCACAGCTCATAGCAATCTCCAACTCCTGGGCTCAAGCGAGTCTTCTGCCTCCGCCTCCCAAGTAACTGGGACCACAGGCGCCTGCAACAATGCCCGGCTATTTTTTGGTTGCAGCTGTCATTGTTGTTTGGCGAGCCCAGGCTGGATTCGAACCCACCACCTTAGGTGTATGTGGCTGGTGCCTTAGCCATTTGAGCCACAGGCGCTGAGCCCTTACTTCCACTTTTAACTGTTCTGAGTCACTTTGTTTCAGATGTGTCTGTTAGACAGAATGTAGGTAGATTTTGGTTTTTTTTTTGCAGTTTTTGGCTGGGGCCAGGTTTGAACCTACCACCTCTGGTATATGGGGTCAGCACCTTACTCCTTTGAGCCACAGGCATTGCCCAGTAGATTTTGGTTTTTTACCTCTTGTGACAACATATTTTGTGACTTTAATAACAAATATGTGTGTTATGTTCTTTTGGGTATCAGATTTTTTAAACAAGGCAGTTAAACTCAATTATATTTACTGTCAGCTCTTCTCCATGTCTCTGTTTCTCTTTTTGCCCTTCTATTTGTGTGTCTGCTACTAGTTCTTTAACTATTTAATACATTCGAATTCTCAAGAGAAAATGGTATGAAAATGTGAAGTGATTCTTAAAATTCTCCTCAGACATGTTCTTTTGTTTCTAAATGGGGATGACTGAGAGAGCCCTTATCCAAAAAGATTACATTTCTTTTTTTTGAGATTTTAAATCCAGTAAATGGTTGCACATACTATCATATGTTCTTATTAGGAATATTGGTCAAGGATGGGTCAGATGTTACTATTCCAGTCTCAGTGACCCAGTTCCCCAGTACTGACCTTCTGGAGCCCACCATTCTCCTCCACCAGTGGCGGAAGCACATTGGGGCTGCTGGGTGGAGGGGCCTCCACATTGTAATCACGGAAGCAGCAGAAGAAGGAGCTGAGGATGCTGCGGCTCCTCTGCTTCTTTAAGCTGATGTTGCATTGTGAAGCTGCAAAGAAAAACAGAGCACACTATAGCCAACTGCAGGTGTTCTAGTCATTGTAATACAACGATGTAAAATTCCAATGTGGTATTGTCCCCCAGAGTCCTGATTCCAGGGGGCCTGCTCAGGAGAAGATGAGGGGCCTCTGGAAATGACTCTAAAGGATTGGTAATCTCATACGAATCCTAGGGGCCAGCTTGTCCATGAAGTCTAATGACTAGAAAGAACCCCTTTGACTTCAGCCCAGCAGAGGCTGCTGGCTCATTAACTGTCCTGTCCTCAGGCTCAGTCACCATCTGCATTCCTAGACCCAGCAGTGAAGTATTCCTACCCTACAATGTTACTTCAAAACAAACATCCTTTTCAGGCATAAATCTGACCTGATACTCCCTGCTCACTACAGAAATGTCTAACTACATGGGTTAAGAAGCAAGATACATAAGGGCACAAAGGAACTCCATTCTTAAACTTCACCATTGGTCAAGAAGTTGATGGGGTACTGGCCCCATGGTGCTCAGGGATGAAAACTTCCATTACACTGAAACACACAGCAGGAGATAGAGGATGGAGACACGTGCTTCTGCTGAGCTGGGCTAGCCAGGACACAGCCAGTCTTTGTGAATCCAGGGTAATACTGTGCCTTGGCCTGTCCTGAACTAAGGCACTGGAGGAGTGACAATCTGTTGTGTTTAACCACAGCTCAAGACAAGCTGCCACAAGTCAGGAATAAAAGGCAAAAATTGGTATAGATGAAAAACACCCCTCAGGGAAGGACTGACAACTTAGAGGGGCAGGAGCTTTGCCTGGGAATGTAGCTGGGGCTGTCCCACCACATACCATGCCTGGGTGGGTCAGCAGTGCTCTGAGGAGAGGCTACAGGCAAGGACCATGTTTAGAGTTAATGGGAAAATCACCAATGCAGGCAATGATTTAAATCCACATGATAGCTATTTGCGTTTATTTCTCCCAAAAAGCAATTCTGGCACAATTCTGCTTTTTGTGAACTTGTAAGTCATTTACATAGTACCTTTTCCCCTAAGAGATCACAAAATCTTTGTTACAAGTTTTGGGGTTTTCTTGTGCCGGCAGTAAAATTGAATGTATTCAAATGGAAATTCTGAAAAAGGATTAAAAAGCTGTTTTTGCTAGAAAAAAATTAGCACGGTAGTGTGTACCTATAGTACCAGCTACTCAGGAGGCTGTGGCAGGAGGGTTGCTTGATCCCAGGAGTTTGAAGTTACAGTGAGCTATGATGATGCCCTGCATTCCAGCCTGGACAACAGAGCAAGATCATGTATTAAAAACAAACAAATAAACAAAAAAAGGAAAGCTGTTTCTCCAGCAAGTCCACAGATATGGCAGTTTCTAGCCTAGGTTTAGGCAAATGGCCTGCTAAGTATGAATTTATGATTTTTGCTCACTAAAGATAAGCTTTACAACCATAAGTCCCAGTAAAGGTAGCTGTTTCTGTTTTGCTCATTAGTCCCTAGATGCATATCACAGAGCACCAGTCATCTCATTTGGGTCCCAATGGCAGGCCAGGCCAGACTAGCCATAGAGACCACCAGGCATGGGAGCCTTTCAAATAGCAGTGGTGGGAATAAATAATGACCACTGTTTACTAAGGGCCAACCCTTTAGTTCCAATATTTCACAAACCTCATCTCACATAATCCTTATAGCTACAGGAGATAGGTGTTATTGCTGAAAAAATAAAACCAGTTAATTGCTTGTGCCAGGATTTAAACCCAAGTGGGCCTGCTTACAAAGTGTGTGATTTTCCCATGTACCACGCTGAAGACAATCTTGAAACAATTTAGGCCAGCCTAAGAAGGAGAGAGCATGCCAACTGGGAAGAAAAGCATTCCAATAAACTTGTGTTTAACATAAATGATTGGCTAAGCCATTTCATTGTTACTCTGGGTGTTTTAATTTTTATGCCACACTCATATAATTTATCCAGGGGAAGAAAAAAATCTTTTCTTTTCCCTTACTGCTAGTACATTTCTCTGCAAGTAAATTAGATGTTTGTTCATGTCTCAAAGACACTGAGCAGCCTGCAAAAAGCACCTTCCCAGATCTTGTTTTCATCCTGGGATCACCCAAATCTTTCCCATAACTAACCGGCTAACTCATTAGCAAACTAACTTACATACTAAAAAAATTTCTAAACCTGGAACTAGTAATTGAAATTTCCACCATATGATTATTTACTATACAGAAGCTATGGGATCAGGAGAGTCCCTGGGAGGCCTGCATGCCCCTGATGGTGAATGGCAGCTTACTCAGCTTCTCCCTTGTTTGTATGAGGAGGTGAAGTAGGGATGAGGCCTCACTTCCACAGCTGAGGGAGTTCAGGGCTCTTCTGTAAAGTCAGGTTGGCTCTAAGGCCTGCAGGAACCTCTGGGAGGCTCAGGGCTTTCTAACCACTCTTGTGCAGGTCTGAGACTCTAAAATCAGGCCAGGCAAGGAAATGGAAGGATTTTCTCAGAACCAGCATTAGCTCTCCCACCCTCAGCATTCACTTGCTCCTGAAAAGGGCTAAAGACGTGCACTCTCTGGTGCAGTGACCCTACGGCCTTCCCTCTCAGCTGCTATCCTGAAAAGGGCTAAAGACGTGCACTCTCTGGTGCAGTGACCCTACGGCCTTCCCTCCCAGCTGCTACCCCCAGCTACTATCCAGAAGTCCCTTGATTTGCTCATAATCTGGCAAAAAAAATTTGGTTGATAAATGAAATTAAAACCCACAGTTTAATAGATAAATGTTTATATTATTACATTAACTTAAAACACTAGATATAGAATAATGTATCTGATTTAATCATAATTAAGCAAACAAACTAAGAAAGATAATAATTGAGGAAGGATTTGCTATAAACACACCAAAACGTTAACAGTAATTGTCAGACTATGTGTGTTTACATTTCTTCCTTCTGTATTTTCCAAGCGCTTTATGGTAATTGTAAATTGCTCTGACAATGGGGGAAAAGTAAATAGTCTTGTTAAACTTTTCTTCAGCAACTTTGTGAGGCTTAGGAGAAAACATAGCCTACTTCTAACACCAAACCTTCAGACTTATTTCTATGCTTCTTTACTCCAAGCCTGTGAAATAAACCAGGCTACAATGATTAGCCATGGCCCACAGCCACTGCTGCCTATGATGTCACCAAGACAGAACATACCCCCAACCACAACACCAGAGGAGGCCCACATGAAAAGAAGGCATCAAACAAGAGTCCTTTCCCCAGCAGAATGCTCCCATCAGTTTACTCATCTGGCAGCCCCACCCAACCACAAATACCTCACCCCCTACCACGCACAAGTGTGATCCTGCAGCTTCTCTGTTCTTGACTAGCATTTTGCCTCTCAGCACCTTTCTTTGCTAGCCCTTTTAAATGTTTCCAGTGATAAGTCATTTCAACGTTTCCTGTCGCTTTTCTCCAATAACATTCGTGCTCCTGTCCATACCCAACTTCTGCCTATCCTACTGCCTGGTTTCCTCCACAGTAGACCCCTTATGACACTGACATCCTTACTTCCCTCCTCCTTCATAAAGAAGTAGGGATTCTATCTATAGGTAAAGCCTGGATCAAAAGCTGGATTCTACTGGCATACATTTTTCCCCCTGACATCTGACAACTAGGAACTATATTGGATTTGGTTATATAAATGGTACTTGAGAAAGCACAACTAGAACTAGTTGGATGAAAGTATTTCAAATTGTATACAGAAACAGTACACTGTACCCCATAATAGTATTAATGTACACTGCTATGATTTAATTAAAAAAAGAAGATTAAAAAAAAAAAAGAAAGCACAACTAGAAAAATCTCAGGAAGTGATTCTACCTAATCGCTCTAAAAACTGGATGCAGATATAGGGAAGGCAAAAGAAAGGGTTGAGTGCCCAAATGAACTCTGCTGGGTTGTTTTCCCTTAGAACAAGCATAATGCTTTCAAGTGGAGGGGGGGAAGCATACACTTTACTTTCTCCACTCCCTTACTCCAGGGAGCATTGTGCCTGCCCAGTCTGCATCTGATCTCAGGGACCTCTTGCCCTAATCTGTACACCGAAAAGGAGCACTGAGGAGGACCAAGCAAGGAGGAACACAAAAGCAAGCTAGCAGGACTGGCACAGTCTTCTGTACCAGCTCCCCTAGTAGGCTTATGCTGCCATTTCCCCAGGGCAGCCCAGTGCAGGCTTGACAGAGTGACCATGTCTTTCTTTTCCTTAGCCTTGCTAATGAAGAGAAGTCCATAGCTGGTTCTAACACACACAGGTGGTTGGGTCATGGGCATAGACTGTCCATAGGGTGAGTAAAGAGAGATCCTTGGCAGAGGCAGATGTAGTGATCCTAAGACTTTCTCTATTTCCTGAGCAGGTGTGGGTAGAGCAGAAATCCCAGGGAGGGTTGTGGAAAGCTAGATATGTTGCGTACTGGCCTCACCCACAGTCCCTGTGTATCACTGGAGGATGGTGTGAAACTAAGGAAAAGAGGCATGTTGTTCTGTTTGTCCTGTATATACCTTGGAGCTAACACTTCTGTCTAGGGCCCCTGGACTTGGTGTCATTATAGACCAGCAAATAAAGACCAACTCATATGCATTTCTCTCTTTCTCTCCCCAGAGCTGGGGACCTGCCATCTACCAGCACCAGGCTTGGAGCTTATCAATGGGGAGGCTTAATTTGGATATCTAGACAGTTGCCTTCCTCTCTAAGGCAAGATGGGAAGCCTTCGAAATACCTCCTGGTGTCTCTAGGCAGAGTGCTGGCCCAGTACTAAGAACCTGTATCTTCAAATTACCAGTTACAGATGGAGAATGTAATAGACTCTGACACTTTTTTTTTGTTTTTTAGAGATAGAATTTCATTTTGTCGCCCTTGGTAGAGTGTTATGGTGTCACAGCTCACAGCAACATCAAGCTCTTGGGCTTAGGCAATTCTCTTGCCTCAGCCTCCTGAGTAGCTGGGATTACAGGTGCCAACCACAATACCTGGCTATTTTTT